GATCTGGCCCATTTGCTGGAGGTTGAGAACTTCTGCTCTAAAAGCAGTTACTTTTGTAAGAAAATTCATTAAGAAACTTGTCTTGTATTTTCTTGTGGTAAATGTTATCCAGTTTCTATTCTTCCTTTTCAAATCTCTAAATTGGATCTTCTATTTTAGTAACCAAATACATTTAGTGATCTCTAAGAAAGCTGCTGGTCTTTCAATTAATTAAATCTGCTTATAGCCTTAGTTAAGTTTTTTCCCCCATTCCTTTGGCTGTCCCTTCCTTTCAAGTCTCCTTTGAGAGGCAATGGAATGCATCTAAGGAAAGGGAGTACTGCTTCAGTACTCCCAGAATTCATATTTTTCTAGTCTTGTCGCACCCCTGACCAAAAAAAAAAAAGAGGTGATGTTGCTTAAAACAGGTAGTAAACATTTTCTCCACAACCTGAAATACAGAAGACAGCAGTTACTAGGATTCCTGGACTCTAGAGGCCCAAGGACATTCTTTTTTGGTGACACTGGAGACAGTCTGTAGTGTCAGGCCTACAGAAGGACCAAGGAGGAACTCCTTGACCTAAACCATCTATGAACCTGCATGTAAAATCAAAGTGAATGAGGCTGAGAAAGTTTTCACTTACTCGTTCTAGAAGGCAACCAGGCCTGTTAATGCAACCCTTCATTACAGATTACCCCTCTTAAGATAAATTACTATAAAAAGAGAACCATACATTTTGAAAATCATGAGAAGTCCAATTAGGTTTCCATTCAGCTATTTTGAGAAGGGAAACCCACTCTCCAACTCCCCCCCCCCGCCATGTAAAACAATGTTAATTCTTTTCTGTCTTCACTAATCAGTATAATGCCTTATTTTTAAAAGGAAGGTGCCCATCACCACAGTATCTTGACCTCATTGGTTCAAAACTTGAGAGATATATGTTTCTCCAAAACAAGGATCATATGGTATACTCCCTTCCCTAGCAACAAGACTTCACTCATCATAAAGTTGAGGGATGGACAGGACCTCAGGAGGTCACATCTAGTCCATCCCCTGCTCAAAGCAGGACCATCCCCAGCTAAATCATCCCAGCCAAGGCTTTGTCGAGCCAGGTCTTGAAAACCTGCAAGGATGGAGCTTCCATCACCTCTCTGGGTAACCTGTTCCAGTGTTTTACTACCTTCCTAGTGAGAAATTTCTTCTAATATCTAACCTGAACTTCCCTTGCTGCAGCTTGAGACCGTTGCTTCTTGCTCTGTCATCTGCCGCCACTGAGAACAGTTCAGCTCCATCCTCTTCTGAACCTCCCTTCAGGTAGCTGAAGACTGCTATAAATCCTTCAGTCTTCTCTTCCCCTGACTAAATAAGCCCAGTTCCTTCAGCTTGTCCTCAGAAGTCATGTCCCCCAGCCCTCATCATTTTTGATGCCCTCCACTGTTCTCTCTCCAATTTGTCCATGCCTTTTCTGTACTGGGGGCCCCAAAACTGGACACAGTACTCCAGATGTGGCTTCACCAGTGCTGAAAAGAGGGCAATAATCACTTCCCTTGACCTACTGGCAACACACTTACCAATGCAGCCCAGTGTGCCGTTAGCTTTCTTGGTAACAAAGGCAGACTGCTGGCTCATATCCAGCTTATTGTCCATTGTAACCCCCAGGTCCTTTTCTGCAGAGCTGCTGCCCAGCCAGTCAGCCCCCAGCCTGTCCCGGTGTGTGGGCTTGTTCTGTCCTAAGTGCAGGACTTTGCACTTGTCCTTGTTGAACCTCATGAGATTCCTTTTGGCTCAATCCTCCAATTTGTCTAGGTCATCTGAATCCTAGCCCTATCCTCCAGCATATCTACTAATTCCCTAAGCTTGGTGTCATTTGCAGACTTGCCAAGGGTGCACTCTATGCCATCTTCCAGGTTGTTGAAGACGACATGGAACAAAACCAGCCCCAGGACTGACCCCTGGGTCATTACACTTGATACCAGCTGCCAACTAGACATCAAGTCATTGATTGCTATTTTCTGAGCCCCATGCTCCAGGCAGTTTTCCATCCACCTTACAGTCCATTCACCCAGCCCATACTTCCTTAGCTTGCCTGCGAGAATGTTGTAGGAGGCCATATCAAAAGCCTTGCTAAAATCATCCCCTCCGCCCACCACCTCAGTGTGGGCAGGCTAGCCTTAGCCCAACCTGTCTGCTCCAGCCAAGCAGAAAGGCATGCTCTAGTGCCCCCTGGCTTATGACCTGGGCTACTGCAGGCATGTGGCAGCATTTCTAGAATCCAGAGTGAACATCTGTTCACTTGCTTATCGGTTCAATCTACGCAGTTTAGACTAACCTGCAAATATTGAATTGATTCAGCCTTGGGCTTGTAGACTGTTTGTACTTAGCCATAAAGTCAGAATATTCCAGATACGGCTAACAGTTTGGTTGCTACTGTAATCATGATATTTGCCTAGCTAGTTATTCAAAGAAAAAGCCACTTGATTTCCAAAGCACGTGGTTATTTTATCAGGGTGTTAGATTACATTTGTGTAACTGCTGCATTTCACTATAGTTTAGGAGCCTTGCTTCTGGAAGAAAATTAAAGGAGACTCATTACTTTCAATGGGCCATCTTCTGTGAAGCTGCCTCCTCTTTACTAGCTTGAAATGGAAGCACTGGGTTTTTAAACACACAAGGACAGGATGATTAGCTTCAGACAGGTGAGTGGAAGAAGGTGGTATTACACCACCCTGCAGCTCTCAGAAGATTCAGAAATATCACCCAAAGAGACATCAAGAGAATGCCTAGACAAGCACACATGTGCCTGTTGCAACGTCTCAAAGGGCTCTGAGACGCTGCAAGAGGCACATGCAGGAACAAAAAACTGTTCCCCGTGGTCCAAATTTGCTGTTGCAGGTGGCAGCAGGACATAACCAGGCAGCAGCCCCCACTTGCCAGGGCAGCTTTTTGTATTGCTGGGGCCAGCAGAGGTGGCATATCTAGGAGGAGCCAGGGATGGCTATTTTGTTCCAAGTGGCACAATTTGCCCTACACACTGAGGCAAAAAGCCCCGGCTCAAATTTGCACCGCTTCTATTTGAGCTGCTGCAAGTGCACGTGCCCACACGTGTGGACGCACCCCAGAAGGATAAGTTATTTTTCCTTTAACAGAACAAAGTAAGATTCTCTTTAAGGACCAAAGAACTTGGTATGAAATTTTACAATTAATAGATTGGGACTGTGACAGTTAACAGTGGAATGAGACAGCTGTAGGCCACAAAAGAAGCTCAATACAGCAAAGGTAGTGTCAGTGCACTGTACATAGCAACACTAGAACCTAGAACAGAATTCATCAGACTTCAGAATATTTTAAATTTTGTCTGCAGATACTTGTATTCTAAAAGGGACAAAAAAAAATCACTTCATTTTGAAGAGGTATAGAACTGAAGTTTTATGAACAGCATCATGCAGGGTATTACATTAGATAACAATGGTGCTCTTTTTGATTAGAATCTATAAGTAGTGTTTAAATGAAATTGTGAGCAGCTTCATTTTTTTTATTGGCTCCATGCACATTTTTAGAAGAACATCAGTACTAAAAGACATGAAACACTTGCTCACACAGGATGTTCTATTAGATTATGTTTTAAAAGAATATTTGTCATTTCTTATAATGGAAATAGTGGTGAACAAATAAGAAAAAATACAGCTCAAAGTTAACGTTATGTTTGAAAGGCAGCTAAGGTCACAGATTTTCTGTTGGTTCTCCACAGAGAATTCTTTATCTGGCTTCTGAAAGGAAATTATGACAAACCATTGTGAATAAAGCTTATCAAAATGATCAGAGTTCTACCCAGATAATAACAGTTAGTATCTCAATATGTTCCGTATGGTCTATTAAGAGAGTGTGAAGGTAAACCCTAAAGACCAAAAAATTCTACCTGTGAAGGTGAATGAGGTAATCTTAATTTTGCCTCTCACTGGGTGGTTAGTATCAATTTGACCTTGATTTAAGTAAACTAGGTACTGATAATGTGATAAAAAGTAAACTGCTGGAGTAATCATTGCACAAGATATTACTCCAGTATTTTAGATGCCATGTTGGACAGCTTCCTTCAGCTGTAAAATGCAAGAGGCAGACTGTTACTATGCAATGGCAACATACCTTAAGTGACAGGCATTTCAATTTAACTCAGCAGATGCCATATTCTCTTAAAAACAACTTTGTCTAGAGTACTTTATTTTGGTTACAAATTCCATTTAACAGGAGTGCAGAAACTTCCATTACTGAGCATTTGTTGCCCATGGGGCAGCATAGCAAAGCCAGACAACAAGTTTTACTTCCTTTTGGGCGTCCATATTTTTTAACTATGTACAAGGAACTGCAGGGGCACATTTAATTAGCCATTATAATATTTTCTAGGGCCCAGTGCAAAGTAATATAAGAAGGATCCCAATAAATGAGCTACTGGCTTCTGCTTTCCAAGTCTTTCTAAGACACATAAAACACACCCCAATGACCATAACTGTTCAGCTCCTGTTTATCTGAAGCCTAACTCAGGGTTTGGAATTAGCTATTGGGTGGCACCACTAAAATGGTTAAAGATGCACGACAGGAAAATGCATAGACAAATTTAAAAATCAAGTTTTAAGTTTAAGACTGGTAGAAAAATGACATAATATTGTATGCTTTTAACAATCCTCTTCTTAAAGTATAAAATCCCTCATACTATCTTCTAGTTCTTGACCATGCTGTTACACACAAACTAAACTGTTCTCAACCCATGAGCTCTCGTCACACTCGTCATGTGTTGAATTAGACAAAATGTGTGAGGTTCATCAGTATCCTCTTCATTAAATATAAAGAAATTGATATGTGTTTGATTATGATGTGTCAGATTGGACTTTAGGTTTTTAGAAATGAAAAGCAGCCAGGCAGGCTACTTTACTCCTAAACAGTTGATTTCTTAGCATTCATGTTACCCATATGACTCTATATGTATGATAAAAATAAAGGCAAAGTTCTCAACAATTTTCATACCCACCTGCTACATTGAGTTTCTCAACTGCTCCTAAACTGGGAGCAGCGGTGGTAGTACTGTTGGTTGAGTTTGCTCCCGTGCCATTAAGTACAAGAATCTCTACCCTGGATTCTAGCTTTCCAATACGTTGCAAGATATTATCGAGTAGGACTGCAAGAGTTTTCTTCAAATCTATAACAGAAAAAGTAATTATTAACCCATTTAACAATATACTGGATGCCACAGAAGAATCATATATTCATCAGGTATTATTTATTTACAAGAAGGAAGCTATTCCACTTTACTGTCACATAGTCAGATGATCCTATGATGGTAGATAATGTCTAGCTTCACATCGAGTACTTTCAGGTGAACAGCCTGTTAGCTAGTCCACTGTATGAGCTAAAACCTAGCCTTAAAGAGATGAAAAAATTTTCAGCCATATTGCTTGAAATATTCAATCAGGTCCACACTGGCACAATACCCTTGCAAGTTCTAAGTCTTATAACAACAATGTTATAAAGGCACCCATGTCTTTTCTCAGGCAAGCTAATAATTATATCTGTCATTAGGTGATTAGAGGCTCCCCCCCCCACAGCCCACCCCAGCATTGTGCCAAAAGGAAGGAGGAGGAAATCTGCATAAAAAGAAAGAATGTATAAAAACAATCCAGAAAGACTAAGGAAGTTGAACAAACAAATTTAAAAATGTATAAAGGGAAAAATCAGGAAATTTAACAGTAGTGCAGATGGACTTGTGAACTAAGACTGTGAGCAAGCAGGGATAAAGGACTTTATACAAGTTAAGAACGTGGTGTTGAGCTCAACTTTGAATATACTAGCTTTTGTCTATTAGACCTAGCACTTCAGATTAAAGAATTTTACTTAAATTATATTCAAATATTATTTTTAGAATGCTACTCAAACAAAATGGTTTTTAAAATGTGCAATTATCTTCTTTTCATAGTTTAAAAATCAAATAGTTTTCTGATCTGTAATCTGACACCTGGTGGAATTTCCAATGATAATTTATAAGCAGAGATTCACCTGCCTCTGTTACAATGGGCATAGATTTACCATGTGGCATCTAGTGTTTCAAATGAGTTTTTAATGAGTAGTCGAATGGTTATGCAAATAAGAGAAGGATTACATGGAAAAGCTGCTATTTCTTTTAGTTGAATGAAAAACAAACATTAATTTTAAAGGAGTTTTCCATATCTGTCTTTATAGCATTGCACTTTTCTTTACTTTTGAAAGATTGTTATAAGTGATATTTTAAAATATATGCTAAATACATACACATAATTTTAAGGCTTTTTTTTAAATATTGATCTAAAATAATAACAATTAAATTATGCTAGAACTGATGAAGATGGGGAAAATGACAAAACAATAGTAATAGTAACTTGAACCACAAAAGTTATCTAAGAAATGAGCACAGTATATGCTACTAATCTTGGACTAAATGGAAAAAAATGGCTGTAATAATTAAAAGCACAGTGAGGAGTCAGCTAAGAAAATAAAAATAGGGTAAATAAAAAAAAATAAAACTGCGACAGAAAATACAATGAGAATAACTCAAAATCAGACCCACAACACTGCTAACAACATCACTGTTTGAAAAAGTCTGCTGGCAGGACAACAGACATTTGGATGAAATTAAAAGACGAAACTCCAAGTATGCTCCTTACCGAAGTGCACAACTTTGTGTAAAATATTTCACTGTTACTTTAAAACCAAACACACACTGTTACTATTATTCTAATACTGGAAAAGACAAGCATTTGATCCATGTACATCAAATTTCAAAGTTTCAATACATATAAGGTAGTAGAAATATAAATCAATAACAAAAACTTGCAATTAAAACCGAAAAAAAATTGAGATAAGCATGGGAAAATGGGATACAGACCAAACACAGACTAGGAGGTAATCTAAACCAGGAAAATGTAAAAGAATCTTAAGACCATAGCTCATGAGTGTCAAGACTGTTCAATGGCTATTAACTGATAAGACTAAAGAAAAAAACAACAACTATTGGGGAGGATTTCATTGAACAACAGGATCAGCACTGTCTTCCAACAACTGTGATATATACTAGTCACCGCTGAAGAACTGGGCTAGTTTCTAACAGTTACCTGTTTAGATTTAAAAGCCATGTACTCATGTATATAGTTTTAAGACAAAGTACACAATTAAACAGACACCTGAATCAATTCATATTATTTTCTGAATTATTACAAAGCCTGCACCTGTAAAAGCCCTTAAGTTGAAAATAAGACATACAAAGCAACCGAAATGTATTGTACGCTTATTCAGTTGTATTATTATATATCCTTACAGCATCTGTCAAGCAAGGTCTTTTGTTAGAAAAAGAATTACCATTTTATTGAGGTGGCTTAGGGGGCTACATAGATGATTCCCCTTCACTGAAATGCAGCCGTCTCTCTTGTGGAACCTCATTTGATAGTGCATTGATTACTCCATAACAGGATTTGGAATGGGAAATTACTGCCATAAGCAACTGCAACAGCTGGAGGATTTCAGCTAATGACTTCCTATCTTCCTGAATTCTGGCTAGAGCATATATTAATATATTCCTCTTATGAAAAATGGTACAGGATATGCAAGCGAAAGGTGTGGTCATTTCAGTTTTGCAGTGACCTAAGCCTTTGGCTCTTCTTCCCCATTATAAACTAGTACAGTAAGGAAGTAAGGAACACCCTCTTCTGAATAATCATATTTTCTGCAAAATCTTTATGGTAGGAGGGCACCTTCTGATGCAACACTGACCTAGGCTGACACTCTTAGCTTGTGATATTTAATGTGATCATCATACAAGCTGCTATGCCTGCAAGTGGTAACACACAAACAGAAATCTCAGAACAAGGGCTACTTGTTCCTTAAGCCACATAGCAATATAAAAGTCAGCTGCCTAGAAAATGGTGACTTCAACCTCACAGGCAAAATAGTCACAGTAATGCTAGCACTGGATCAGAGAAGTAGACAAAGGCAGTAATAAAAGAGAGCAAGGCATTCTGGCATCTGCTGAAAATAGGTGTTTTCATCCAATATGCCAAAGGGAAAAGAAAATCAAGAGAGAAAATGAAAGGCTCCTAATTATGAGCATGCACACCTAATCCTAAACCCATCCTAACTTCTTTTCCATTACAAGTCTAGGACACATTGTTTATAAGGTTTCTCTGAGATAACACATTAATGAAAAGAAAACTAAGAGAGAACAGCATAAGTGACTAATTAGCAATTAACTTTTCAGGTAACCTAAAAGGAGCATACTACCCTCCAATACAGTGGGTGCATTTACACCTACTATTAATACACAGCAATAAACTCTGGTGCATATCACATTCCTGGGCACTGTGTTTGAACATGCTGCCGGGACTGTAGCACACTGACCTGGGTCAGAGGAGCCCTGGCTGGCAGAAGGCTGGGGGTCAGCCTGCCACCCTGGGGCTGTTCTGACCCAGCTCAATGTGCTGTGGGGAGGCTGGCTGGAGCATGAGGATACTCGAAGTGTGGGGCTAGTTGGCGGCAGCATCTGCATTGAAGCACCCTTATGCCCCAACCAGCATCTACACCTGTGTTGCTGTGGAGTAAAAACACTGCCACAGGATAGTACTATGGTGGAGTTAGTTAGTTTACTGTGTCCTAATAGCACTGCATGTGTAGATGCTGAGACGCTGCAGAGCTAATTAGGCGACTCAACAGTAAATGTATTGTGTAGCCATGTCCAGTAGGTGGGAGAGCGAGCAAAGTGAAAACACCTTCCCCAGAGCTGTCCAACTAAGCCACTGGGGACTGCACGCTGCATAGGCTGCACCAAGCGAGCCATGAGGTGCTGGGCTGCATGGGTGCATATGAGGATGCTATTCCATGCACCCACATGGGAATCCTCCCACTGCTGCACTGCATGGGCACAACCCCCAGCCCTATTCCTATCCCTGTCTCATCCTCAGTCCCCGAAACAGTACTGCACTACACTGCCCAACCCCCTGAGGCAAGGGTAGGGAGGAGCAGCTGGAGAAAGTAAGGGAAGCCAGGAGACTCCAACCGCTCCTGCAGCCAGAGCAAGGTGGGGAGTGGTGGCCAGGGTGAGCGCCATGGGACTGCAAGTTAACCCCGTGTGTACTACATGCAGCCTGCAAGCCACCAGTTAGACGGCCCTGAGCTTTGCCATGAACACAGCACACATACTGGAGATAAATATTTTTTTCCTCAATCATAGTCACCTTAATTGTTACATGTTAATACTGGGTAAAGAGCATTGGGGAGATGATGCTGACATTTAAATTTAAGCTTAGATATGAATACCTACACACTTTTAAAAGATATCATTCAATTAAAGCTGAACAAAAATGTGGCAGAAATAGAAAAGCAAACAGTATTTAATTAATAAGGCAAGGGGTTGGTTTGTTGCAGGGTCTCAGAGTGCTTCAGCATGTAAACAGACTAATCAAATTTCTTGGCAAACTGGTAAATTGACCAAACTACCAATAGCTAGCTGCTGCACAAACAAATACTGGGAACTTGTTGCAAAACCTAGCAGAGGACTGTCAGACCTGGGTCAGGAGGGTCTGGCAAGCATACTGCAAAGAAGTCTGGAGTCTGGACTAAGCACAAAATTGCAGTCAGACCAATTTTACCCTTCAGCATCTTCAAGTTCAATTAAGTGCAAATCGAAGAGTGCTTTAAGAGCAAAAACAAGGCTACATCTGGATTTTAGGTAAGTCACTCTAATCACTGCTCATGCAAAACTATGTGGCAATTGCATAGCACAGCGTTAAATTCATATAGCCTTGGCTGTAAAAGTTGGCAGAACATATATCCATTAATCCTCCCAAAAAGGGGAAAAAAAAATGTTTCAAATACTAGGAGCTGGATACCCTCTTCCCTCTCACCCACAAGTGATCAGTTCTTTTGGTACAAACATGAAAACTTAAGCCTTCTGTGGAAGACAATTTCTTTAGCTTAGCAGGAAGAAGCAAATACAATGGGAAGTGACAGGGCAGAACAATGTGTTCATGGTCCCGAGTGAATGAAGACATCCCGTGTCAGCTTCCCTCCAGGAATGGAACTAACTAAAGGGAACTTAGAGGTTAAATGTGCGGGACAACCAGGCTCTAGTTTGGCTAGAACTATGCCAAACCTTCTGGATGGCTTTTAGGTGGAGTGGGGGCGGGGCACCTGTATCATTACCTCCTTTTCTTCTTGAGCCAAGATCCAAGATAGAAAATTCTTCCCTGAACAGTGCACAGCAAAGCCAGAACTGACAGACAAGGAGCTTCAGTCAGGAAGAGACAAATGGTACCTGAATTCCTCTCCCTACTGTGGAGATAACCTCTGAGTAATTCCTTCAAAGCAAAAATTGTAACTACTTCTCTGTGGATTTATGTTTTCTTTTCCTCACTATTCTTAAGCATATTTAAGATTTCAATACCTTCCCTGTTGAACAGACTCTAGAACACTTTGAGAAGAATCTCTGGCAAGGTTGAGGAAATGAAGCTTTTGTTCTTAGCTGGAACTGCTTTGGTCAGAGCCAGCTAGCTAGTCAATGTTCTTCTACGATTGCCTTTTTTGTTTAATTTTCAAAGAAAATCCAAGCACCACATTCAAACCACTGAAACAAAGGCTGTCCCTAACATGGGAAATTGCAAACATTGCTGGTATGTTGTGAGCCAGTTACTTTTTGTATGAACTGTTAGTAGCATTCTGCTTTCTAGACCAACTGTGTGCTGAAAAACCATTAATATATATTAATACACAGTTTTAAAACAAAATCATTGTAATTCTAAAGTTCATAACAGGGCAAATATTCACTGGTCAACATAAAAAAATAATCAAACTCTAACAATTCTTAGGATATACCAACAAATTGATCCTTGATATTTCACCTCTTCGCCCACTCATGAAATCACCGGCAATGGTGCACTTCCACTATGAAAAGCAAAGGCCTCAAGCTGAGATTTTAAGCACAGGTCCATCAGGATAAAGTTCTCCTGAGCTGGTAGGGCACTAATTATGCAACTCTACAGGGGAAAATTACTAGTGAATGAACCCACAAGTGCTAGGGATGGAAGTTACAGATAAACCAGTTTAAATTATCAGAAACTGGTTTAACCTTGTAACAGAACAGAAGCTCAGTGCATATAAACCAGTTTGAAAATGGCTGAAATTAGTTTAAGATAAACCTGTTTGAATGTACTATCAGACTCAACTGATTTGGGTCAAACCAGTTTATGAAACTCATGTCCCAGACCCCTTCCTAGTTCAAGTTAAATCACAGTCCCCCAGCATCCCAGCATGATTTCCAGCCTTGGGCTGGGCTGTCTGCTCCAGACAGCTGGCCCTGCCCCTCTGCTCTCTGGCTGGAGCAGTGAGGTCCAACTGGGGGAGGGAGGGGGTGGGGCAAGCCCAGCTGCAGATGCAACCCAGTCTGCAGGTAGAAGGAGGGGCAGAGGACTGTCCCCCAGGAAAACCCCAGCTGGGGGCTGGGGCCAGGGATGGGGGTTAAACACCCCTTCCCCTGCTCAAACTTAACTGCTGGCTACGACTATAGACTACAAATCCCAGAGGCACCTGGAAGCAGGAAGAGCATATGATGAGCAACCCTGCAGAGCTCTGCTCCGCAATTATGGGCCATTTGTACATGCCACAAAATTGGCCTTTAAAGAGGCTTAATGCCCTTTTAAACCACTTTAATGGTGGAGCTGTTTGCACATGTCAGCAACGTAATGCGTTTTAACAGTGGGCTCTTTGCATGCGTCGGTGGCATAATGAGTCTTAAATGATTTTGGGATGCAGCAAAATAAAACATCTCCAAGGTAGTTTAGTTTGCTGTGGAGGGAAGCACCGGGCCCCGTGCAGCTCAGGGGCTGTGCAGGCAGGCTCCACTGAATGAAAAAAAAAAAAAAAAAATGCTGAGCCTAATCTTTTCTTTTTCCCCCCAGAACCTACCTGCCTGCCTGAGCTGCGCGGGGGCCTGGTGCTTCCCTCCGCAACTGCGGTGCCTTCTTGGACCGCTTGGGTTGAGTGCTTGCAGGTGGGTATTGCCTGGTGGGCGCTGCCACTACTGCGGAGGAAAGCACCAACCCCCCCCCCCCCCCCACACACACACACACCATCCCCTCCCTGCAGCTCAGGGACCAGTCAACTTGCCGGCAGCTCGCCCTCCCCTCCCTGCTGCCAGACAGGCAGGTAAGGGTTGCGCCCGACCCTTGTGTACCCTGGGTTTTCTTTGCCCTAAATTGAAGGTGTGTTTTTAAAGATCCACCACTTCAATTTAGGGAGAATTAAACCAAAGTAAATCCCCATGGCATGTACAAACACTACAAATCCTAGAGACCTCAGGGGCAGCAGGAAGAAGCAGCGAACACACAGCCCATGCTGGCTACATGCCAGAGATGTGCTCTAGCACCCCCCCAGCTTCTGGCCTGAGCCACTCCAGGCATGTACCTGCAGTTCCTGAATTAAGGTAAATGCCTGTTCACTTGTTTCAATTTAATCTCTGCATCTTAGACAAACCTGAAGACTGAATCAATTCAGCCTCGGGCTTTTTCACTCTCCATACTTAGCCACAGGTAGTATATTAACACTTGCTAAAGACAGCACCATTGTTTTTTCTTCTGGATACAGAAGTCTCTCCCAACGTACAAGAAGAATCTGTAGGCCTATTGGGTTGTGTTATGGGCAACAATATATTAACTTTGAAATTAATTTTAATTAACCAGATTTTATTGACATTATGGAATATGCACTTACCATAAGCTGTCATGGTCCCAACATAAGGTCCATCTACTACATTTCTGTTTTCCTCTGCCAGTGCTTTGATATATCTTTTGCTGAGATCCAGTATTTGTTCACGAAGCACTAAACTGCTTTCATGTTGAGTTCGCTGTTGAATAGTAAAATGCAGAAGCATCATTCCCCAAATGAAGCCAAAAGTCACCAAAAAAAAGCCAAGTTTCTGAGAGGATAGTTTCCATGGAGTAAAGAAGGCCATGGCTTCCTTGAAACTTCAGTCACTATAAAGGTTCTTAAAGCATGAAACCCAGGAGCAACATCGTGGTCCAGGTAGCACTCGCAATGTGGAAATCAATCTCACTCTGGCTCGCTAGTTAGTATATGGCCTCCTTTCAGTTCCATTTTGCTGCAAGGGAAAAAAAAAAGGAACACTTGGTCACTGCAAAGTAGGGTAACTCCAAACTGTACTATGTTTGTGCTGTAACTTCTACAAAATACAAATAGACAATATGTTCTTTTTGTACATTTTTAATTTGTGTATATCAATATTTTATAATATACAAGTCAGAGCATGAACAAGCTAGAAGGGGATTTGGAAAGAGAACAAGAAAAATAGCAACGTGTATGAACAGGTGTATAATCCTTTTGAAAATCTAGACTAAAAAAATCAATGCTTTAAGCAGAGTTTTCCATCCAAAATTCAAGGTAAGGAAACTTAATGCATTTTTTGTCCATGAAGATTTTGCAGTGCTGCCAATGTAGTGATTTAAAACAATCCTCAACATAATTCAGTTCTTAGCAAACAAGTAATCTTAGCTGGCAGTGACACTGCTATGAGTTTCTGGCAAGAGCTACGGCATATGGCAAGATAGGTAATCTGGAAAGCTGATTCCCTCAAGGGAAAAGGAAAAAGTGCTCTGCATTATTTAAGCAAATGCACACACTCTCCCAGCTTCACTGCAGGTATTTAGAAGACAGGATGAACCTCCTCTTGTTCCTGTGCGGACTCTTCCATGCGTCTCTACATAATCAAATACCTCTTACTTATTTTATACCGAATTCTAGTTTAAACAGCACAGTTGTGCACAGTATTTATTGCCACATGATACCTCCTGCATTTAAAGAGTCATGGTTCCTATTACATCATTGTCTAGAGAAGACTCAGTATATTATAATGTCAAATCCCCCCCCACAAAAAAACAAACAAAACCCCAAACCAAAAAACCCAGTATAAAACTCCATCTTTGCCTGGTCAACTCGATGCTAGCTTATACATGGTTTATCTGAATGCATCAGTTAATCCTAACTAGAACAAAACAACCTCTTCCTTAAAAAGACTGCTTTTGGCATAAAAAGTTGCAACAAAAGAAGGTAATTAAAAGGTAATTAAATACAACCTACCATATTTAAACATGGATTTGGTAAAGCATTATCTTTTTGACTTTATAGTGCTCCCAGACAGGATTACAGAACACAATGTTCTTTTTTCCTTTGTACTTGCACAGATAATGCAGATGTTGCTTTGTTTTAATAGGATAATTATAGAGATGTCTGCTAAAGCAGTGCTGCATGTTTGTCACAAATCCTAAATCAGAAGAGTCTATTTTCAGCTCATTTAACCATTCCTTAAGGCAGGGGTATCAATCTCATCTGGTCCTATAGGCCAGATGAGTGTTTCAGGGCTGGTCAATGGGCTGGATGAAATGGTGCAGGGCTGGGCCCATGGGCCAGATCAGGCCCACCCTTTCCCCTCCTACTCCCCTCTCCCACACACCGGATCCAGCACCCATGGTACTTACTCTGGCCAGTCTGGGACTGCGCAGCATGCAACACCCACTCTGGTCCAGGGCAGACATTGCATGTAGCGGAGGTAATGGACTGGCTGACATGGCAGTATACTATAGAGATCAGTCCCAGACTGGCTAGAGTGGGTACCAGATCTGACATCTGGGGGGACCCATAGAGCCCTCCTGGACATACTGGATCCAGCACCACTCTGAGACTGCTGGACACCAGCTGGAGCAGTCACCACATGTGGCTCACATGCCAGACCACCAGCTAAAGCAGGCTGTGGATCTGACATGTGGGGAGAACTGAGACGGGGGGGTGTCAACAGAACTACCCACACAGCATAAAATGGGAGAAACGCTGTTGTGAATTAGGTTCGACATTGCAAACGCCTCCACAAAGGTATAAGGGATTGCAG